GATTTTTGAAAACCAGTTGATTAAATAATTGTGGATTTGGTCATATTTGATACCCCCTCAGAATCCTTTGGGCAGGAATATCACGGTAAGTCTTATTCCTGTCTGATTCCTAACACAGACCACTGGGAACAATGAACACTCCTGCTTGACAGGCCCCAGTTCTTCTAAAATTCCTTTTCATCAGTATTTATATTTTTAGGGCACCATTAAAAACCCTGCACTGCAGGCCTCTCCTGCTTTTTTCATTTCTGCAGCACTTTTGTGCATTTATCTTATTCCTTTCTTGTTCCCCATAATCCCTGGGATATCCATCCAAAAACCATCCAAAACACCTTACCAAACCTTGAAAATTCTTATTTTCCTCTTTTTCAGTATTTTTAGCTAGTTAGAGGAATCTAGTTCCTGGAATCTAGGCAGCTGACAGAAGCTATTTACCCTGACTACTCTATTATTTGTACAGGATATCACTTAAACTTAAATTTCCAAACCTCCTTTATTAGAAAACATAGCACAAAACAGTGAACATAGCCACTATTTTATTAGCATATAGGCAGGAATAAATTTTCTATCACAAGGTTTTCATTGCATTCATGCTTCCTGAAAAGCACACAGCTGAAATATTCTCTTCAGCTTGATTTTCAATGAATCAAGTGGATTGAAAGGCATATATGATACCAAATAAAATTTAAGGTTTTGACATGAAACCCACCTTTTTGGGATCTGCAACCCACATGGACCAGAGCCGCAACGTCCGGTGGGTTTTGGAGCCAATTTTTGATACACAAACAGTCACGGGTCAAATTTGTAAAATGTGGATTATTTTTTCATTAATTCTTTTGGGGTTCAAATTGAAACAAATTTGATGATAATATTTTTTTTCCTAAAATTTCTAGGGTGAAGAATTCAATGGTAAATTTAATTTCCCCCCAAAAAAGATATTTGAATATTTTTGGTAACACCTGGCTTTCTGAATATTTTTTGTCTGATTTCAAAGCAATGAATATTGGAAAATTCAATTTTTTCCCACACTTTCAACAGTTTGAGATACCATGGTCTAATTCATTTCAGGTTAAATATAATAAATCTCCCTTTTTTGGGGGATGTTATAATTTTCTTTTTTTGGACTTTTTCCACAGTTTGTTTTCCCAAGGATTTATTGAATTGAGCCTGAAATCAATGAAACCATTGGTTTTTCAACTATTGAAAATGTGGGAAAAAAATAAAATGACCTGAATGCATTGCTTTGCAATCAGAAAAAAAAACATTCAGAAAGCCAGGTGTAGTACCAAAAAAATTCAGATATTTTTTTTTGGAAAAATGAACTTGAATATTGAATTCTTTACCTTAATAATTTTAGGGAAAAAAATTATTAACATTAAATCAAAAAGGCCAGGTTGTGTGTTGAACCCCCTCAAATCTTCTCCATCATCACTGCAAAAAATACTTGCTCAACTGCCTGCAGTTGAAATGCAGAAAGTCCAACAAAGCTTTTGGTGTTACTCCCACCTTCCTCCCAGATTGTTTCAACCAATATTTGGTACAAAATCACTGTGCATACTGCACAGTGGCTGTGCCAAAACATCTACACATGCAAACAGTTGAAGTTAGGATGGCAGATTATCTGGAGCATGCTGCATCTTAACTGCAGGCAGTTGAGCCAGTTTCTTTATTTTTTTTTTGGCAGTGCATGTTATAAACAATGTCAGATTCTCTAAATATAATCAAGTTTATTTCTCCCAGGAGGAGAATATGAGGCACTTGGCCATATCCACCTTTGTATCCACTTGCGGTTCTGTTCATACTTTCCCCATGATGTTTTTTTCAACAAGACAGATAGCATGTAAGCCTTGAGTGAGAAAATAAACTCTAATCTTTATGGAAATCAGCAGACTTGCCATTATTCAAGTAGAATCAATTGAAGAAAAAATTGAAGGTAGAAATTTATCATGAAATTTATCATTTGAGTGAAGCCCATTCAAAATCTGATTAGTCAATGAGAGAGTTACATTCTCTAAGCATGAATTTATTCAGATTTTTATCATCAATAAATTATCTTTATTTGATATCCACCATGAATGCTTTATCTGGAGCAACTGGAACCCATTTTATATTTTTCTTACTTTTTATTGGTCATCTCTTTTTGTAAATAGAGAAAATATAGAAATCATTGCACATTCAATATTGATAGTCTTCAGCTCAGAAAAAAAAGATATGGAATACCAAAAAAACTCAATAAAACTTTGGGGTGGGAGGACTACAAACTAATGATGACTAAAAAACACTTATATCTTTCTTCATTTTGTGGTGTTTAATTTATTTGAAGATAGGTTCTTGGAGATTGGAATTGAACTGACTGTTGGACAGATATTTTGTTTTTTCATCTCATTGATGGAATATTCTCATCTAGCCTTGTTCATAATTAATGGTTGGATATATCGATGTCAGCGTGCAGAGAACTTGAGACAGAAGGATCCAACCCCTTGCAGCAGGTTAAAGATACAAACTTTGTAGAGAGAAAGGCTGGTGTAGGTGGGAAGACCACGATGAAGCACATAATACAAAGCAAGGGAGCTTGGAATCACTGGATGACTTCTTTTTGGTCTGGATTGCCTAATCTAGACTGGCTAAATCTAAGTTCTAAACTTTTTATGGTGGTGGGAACCTACTGTCATTAGTTTTTCATCACTAAACATAGTTTGGTCTTCAGAAATAGAAGCTCTGGATTAAGTAATCTGAGACATGGGAAGTCCTCTACTGTCAGATACAAACTAAATCAGAGTTTCAGGCTTGAAGTTCATTTCAGGAATCTGCAAGTGTGGAGCCAGGTTGGACCCTGAAAGCCAAACAGATTGATTTTGATCAGCCCAGGGGAAGCTGTCTGCCCTCACATTTAGCTACCAGTTCCATCTTGGATGTTCATTGGATGTAGGCCCAAACACCAAAAACATAGAAAATGAGTTGATATTGATGCCTTACAAATGGACACTGAGCAACAATGTGTTCAATAAAGCCAAGACATACCCAAGGCTGGAGAGAGTTATGGGAAGAATGCAGAAGCACAACTAGGCCCAAAGACTCACCTTACAGAAACATTCCTGGATGGGCTATTGTGGGGATCAGGAGATGTTGCATGTAAGGCTGGGGGCTGAGGTACAGGATGGGTGATCTTGTCCATCCTGTAACATCCAAAATCACCTGGGATCTAGGGTATTCACCTGGATTATTTCTGATAGCTTTTCTGAGTAGCAGAATCATGACTTTCTCCCTTGGCTCTCAGTCAGCTACTGCTGGTCTCACTTTTGGTTTTTCTTGGCTTTTGTTGAATTTTTGGACTTCTGAGCTCAAAGTCAAAGATGAGAGGGATGAGTAAGGGTAAGATTGGGGCAGAGACACTCAGAAGAGGGGAACTGGACTGGCTCAAAGAGGTATGGAAAAATAAGGTAGAGAACCAGTGATTAGATTGCTTGTGACTAGCCTAAATATATAGTCTAAGTACAAGCAGGTCAAAATGTGGTTGAGAAAGAATTGAAAAAATAAATTTGAATACAGAAGAACTGAGAGAAGATTTTGAGTTCAGAAAAGACAGACTAGATAGGATTTTCTATTTTAATCAGATTCAGATAAGCTTGAAAAGAAAAACAGCATACATCACAAACAAAAAGAGGCATTAATTCTTTTTAATCAATTGAAAGAAAAGAAAATAAAAGCCGCAATTCAAACTATGTTGAGTTTCAAACACGCACAAAAAATTTTCTGGCCTCTGGAGAGTGCTCAGAAGGCCCAAATCCAAGCAGGCAAGGCTTTGGGCACATTTACCCTTTTTCCACTGAAACTCCACGTCACCCAGGGGTTCCGGGTGATTCCCAAGTGTCATGCCAACCACCTGGGGGGGTGTACCATGGGTTATTCACCCGGGTGGGCCTTGCCAATGCTCCAATCCCTTCAATCAAATCATGGTTATGACAAACCTCTCTGCTAGATCAAGGAGTCTACCAAAACATGTCATCTGGTTATCTCAACTCCATGTCACTAGAAACCCAGAAGGCTTTATTGAACAAGTGAAAAGGAAGGCTGTGTATTGTGGGAATCAAACTCACAACCTCAGCATTCATGAGTGATGCTCTAACCATTGAGCTAAGTATTCATTGCTAATGTGTTGGTTTGTGGAGTACATTAATTATGTACAGCTTGTGTGTGGTGATTTGCCTCCAATGCTGTTAGGAAGTCTCACATGGATGTGTTAGCAAATGTCTATCAAGCAGTGCCTAGTTTGACACTTCAACAGGCTTCACACAACCTCCTGCCAACTGTTCCATACAGCAATACTAAGCAGGTCAAAATAATCCCATTCTTTATTATTTACATGTGTGAACATGTACCTCGGGGGATGTGTTTGGGGGTAAACTAGTTGCGCGGTAGGGGGGTGGTTGGGATTGCGTGGAGACGATGCTGGGACATGATTTGGATTTGAATATGGTGGATCAAAATCGGGGGGCAGATTTGTGATAGCTTGAGAGATGAAGGGAGGCCTCCGTGTGATTGCGGTCGAAAGAGAGAAAAAAATCATAACAACGCCAGCCGTCGGCGGGTCGACGGGGGCACAAAGCTTCAGTTCAGACCGCACCACGAGAGCCTCAGTTGAGGGCTGAAGCTGAGTAGATTCATGGCGGCGGATGGATCCGACTATCTCACTAGGTTCGGCAGCGATCTGCATATCGACATTCCCCTTTGACAGTCGACAGAGGTTCCCCCGCGGATGCATGAGTCGGCGAACAAGCCAGCATCGTAATGATCGGGGTGGTGACCATCGAGGAGAACGTCAAAAGAATGGTGGAAAACTAGAGCGGCTGGCAAGAGCCTTCCCAGGTCGGGAGAGAGGTTTGATTTGCCGCTTGGCTGGATTCTCTGAAGTGACACCAAGAGATTTGGATAACTATACTGTGACTCAAATGTAGAGGAGATGATGGACTAAATACTCAGCATTGGAAATCTATCTGTCTTTCTATTCACTGCTGAATGGTGAGGCTAAGACGAAATCCAATCACAGTCGCCTCGGAGGCGACAGCAGCCTTTACCACGACTTGAACCTTTCCAAATTGAACACCGTTCCACCCCTGGTCGGTGTCTGGAGCGGACCCTGGTGTACTCGATGATCACTTATTTTGAAAGGACATCAGCAATATTTTGTCAACCCAAGCAGTGTTGTCTGCGGCCCGCATCTCACTGGCGAAGTCCAATCGGACAGACATGTTAACCCCAGTTCAGGTTCGGACTTGACCACTTAAAGCCCTCTGTAACTGCTGCCTCACCGCCAATAAGTATGAAGAACAGCACGCCCAACCACCCTAAGAAAGGTGTTGAAGCTTGAAGTTCCCAGCGTGGACAAGGCCATTTTGAATGTGGCTTTAATCTTAAAGCTGGAGTGTCTTGTCGAGTCGGATTCCGGACGAGGGTAGGCGCCGCGGAAGCTCTAGGGGTAAGGGGGAGAGATGTCTGGGCTGTGTCCGGACACACGGGCACGGCCGACTCAAGACGAATCTGTACCCAAGTGCCAGTTGAGCTGTATTTGGGTGGGCTGCCTGTTAGATCTTGGACAGCTGGTAATTCGACAGTCAGCTGGGACCTATTTCGCCCAAGTTTTTGTGCAATAACCAGCCAGAGTTTATACATAGGGAGGGAGAGATGGATGCCCGGACGTGCTGACATCCCCGATGACCACGAACGTGGACATACTCAAGCCTGGCTTTATTTAGGTGGTGTGTTTGGGGTATGACTGGACTTGCGTCAAAGTTCTAGCCCTTGACTGACTGGTGAGTCGAGATTCACTAGTATGTTGTATACATAAATATGTTTCTCCTGAAAGGTATTACAACTTGCCTGAAATCGCAGTCAATGAGTGTCTGACGGCTTGGCTTGAGAATAACGGCAGCGATCATGTGCTATCTGGAGCTAAACATACACTGGTGTCTTGATACAAGAAGTGACAGCAAGATAAGAGGAAAAGTAGGCCGGACTCGAAAACAAAGGAAAGTGTTCGTTTGTTTTCCCCGAATCGGCTCGTGGATCGATTTCCCATTTTCAAGATGGAGACACTCCTCCTGACCAACCAAGCTAGCTCGAGATATTTATTTTCAAAAATGGGTATATCTGTGAGTGAGCGTGGATGGTATGTATTTAAGAAAGTGTCATGTGGGTTTTGATAGCGGACAGTCAACCGGATGTTGACCCGCGCAGACGGACGAGGCCGAAGGATATGAGGAGTGCCTCGTGACCGGTTTTTCGACGTTTTACTCGAAATCCTATCACTACCGGAGGGTGATCTCATCCCGAGTTTTTTTTTTTTTTTTTCCGATAAGATGGCCACTCACACACATGTCTGAAAATTGCTTGTGGGCTCCATCAGCCCATGTATATGTGAATGTCATTTCCCGCTCGGGTAGATCTTGATTGACCTGGTGCATGTACGTTTCATTAATACGTCTGAGTTGATTTCGGTCGATGCAACGCGGGATCAGAACTCCTATATCTCAGCCGAAACCGGAGGTGGCTGGCCCTAGTACTCTGGCTGCAAGCTTTCTCTTCCTGGGAATATAAAGTCAACCAGAGGTCGGCTTGAATCCATTATCTACCATCCAGTTGTTCGCGGCACATTTTGAGGATAGCCATCTTTGCTCTTGCATCATGACCCAGCAGCCACGAGGATTTTCTCCTTCTTCTTCTCATTCTCATGTTGAGTTGTTGAATGCTTTTATCACATGTGCATGCATGCAGAAAAAAAAAGAAAAAAAAGAAAAAAAGAAGCGGTTAGCTTACATGAGGTTCCTGTTAGTCTCTCCTCGCCTCTCAGCTCATCAGACCATTCCTCCTTGGTACCACCAAGAAGCCAATCGACATCACCATCGATGGCCAGTCACTCACGATCGATGAGCTCATTCGAGCCACGCTTAGCCTCCAACCGTCAAACGCCACTTCCTCCCCTCACAAGAATCGGGTGCAATTCCAGCTCACCAACGATCAGGAGACAATCGGGGCAATTAATGACTCACTCCAGTTCATGCTCGACCGGGTAAGCCAGTCAATTAAACTTAAAAAAAGAGTAAAATGGCAGAAAACTGGCTGACGTATGTTACAATGACTCAGACCGGTCTGAGTACTTATGGCGTGACCACCGGCTTCGGCGCCGCGGCAACGACCCGGACCCTCCATGTCGAAGCACTCCAGGTCTCGATCATCGAGCATCTGTTGGCCGGCCTTACGGGACTGAATCTGCCACAGCTGGCCAGCCAACTCGCGCCGCCCATCCATCCCTCCCAACCTTTGACTCAAAATATCATACCAGAATCAATCGTCAGGGCTGCCATGCTCATCAGAGTCAACAGTCTTGCCAGGTTCGTTACCTCTCCCGAATCTTGAGGCGTGTGAAAAATACTAATGAAACCATCTTGCCTCATCAAAATATCTTCAGAGGTCATTCAGCCGTCCGGATCGAATTATTGGATGGCTTACTTAATCTACTCAACCTCTCGATCACTCCTCTGGTTCCTCTCAGGGGAACTATCAGCGCCTCCGGTGACCTTGCTCCGGTTCGAAACTCTCCTAATATGGATGGCTTATTCTCATCCTAATTTGACTGACGTGTCTTATTGTAAACTCTTTCTAGCTGGCTTACGTCGCCGGTGCGCTATGTGCTCACCCAGATGTCTACGTCATCGATCGCAGGTCAGCACTGTCTTCGATCCCCTTTTCGCAGCAAAAAAAAAAAAAAAAATCAAATATAAATCGAGCATTTGTTCCCTGTTCGCTACAAAAGTCTCCAAGAACCGAAAATTTTGAGCAGCGCGGAGTGTTTGAAGGCACATGGAATTAGCCCCATCGTACTGGGCCCAAAGGAAGGGTTGGCAATTGCTAATGGAACTGCCTTCAGTGCTGCAGCCGCCTCGATTGCCATCTTCCATTCCCACATCCTCGGCTTGCTGTCTCAAGTCTTGACAGCCATGACCGTCGAGGCTATGGTGGGCCAGATCGGGGCCTTTCATCCGTCAGTTGGGCTAATCCTTCTCTCCAGACCAGCATGTAGTAAATTAATCTTCTGCTGGCCAATCTAGTTTCATCCACCAAACTGCGCGGCCACACCCCGGACAGGTCGAAGTGGCTGAGAATATCTATCGATTACTCGAAACGAGTAAATTACTTAGTGACCAACAGGCTCAACACGATGATGTTGAGCGAGAAAGATCTAAACAAATTCTGCGTCAAGATCGTTATCCTCTACGTACAGCACCTCAGGTAGGTTGAATCCTTTGGAAGTGATTCAGGTTGTTGAATGTCTCATAAGAACAAACAAAAAATTCACAGTGGATCGGACCTCAATTGGAAGACTTGCTTGTTGCACACCAGACCATTTCCATTGAGCTCAACTCCACAACCGATAATCGTATGCCTCAACCTATTTTAACCTACACATGACTCGCTATTAATACTTGACACTTTACAGCTCTCGTAGACTTTGATAATGGTATTCTACATCATGGTGGCAATTTCCAAGCTGCCTCGATAGCCACTTCCATGGAAAAAACGCGCTTGGCCATCGCCGCCATCGGTAAAATCATGTTTGCACAAGTAACCGAGCTCAACAAGTCAGTGATTTTCACCCAACATGGCGTAAAAAATCTTCATTTAATTAATGATTGTGAAGCTGAAATTTGCTTGTGTCTCATCAAGCTCGTTAATGAACAAAGGCTTGCCCTCTTGTTTGAATGGACACGAACCAAGTACCAACTATCATACTAAGGGACTTGACACATCCTGTGCTGCCTA